AGTGTAATAGTGAAAGTATTGGAAAAACTAATCAAAACTAAATGGGTAGAACACCTGGAGAGAAATGATATAATATCAGACAGACAGTATGGTTTTCGATCTGGAAGATCCTGTGTATCGAATTTACTCAGTTTCTATGATCGAGCCACAGAGATATTACAGGAAAAAGAAGGTTGGGTTCATTGCATCTATCTGGACCTAAAAAAGGCTTTCGACAGAGTTCCACATAAGAGGTTGTTCTGGAAACTGGAAAATATTGGAGGGGTGACAGGTAAGCTTCGATCATGGATGAAAAATTTTCTGACTGATAGAAAAATGAGGGCAGTAATCAGAGGCAATGTATCTGAATGGAGAAATGTCACAAGTGGAGTACCACAGGGTTCAGTTCTTGCACCAGTGATGTTTATTGTCTACATAAATGATCTACCAGTTGGTATACAGAATTATATGAACATGTTTGCTGATGTTGCTAAGATAATAGGAAGGATAAGAAATTTAGATGATTGTCATGCCCTTCAAGAAGACCTGGACAAAATAAGTATATGGAGCACCACTTGGCAAATGGAATTTAATGTTAATAAATGTCATGTTATGGAATGTGGAATAGGAGAACATAGACCCCACACAACCTATATATTATGTGAGAAATCTTTAAAGAATTCCGATAAAGAAAGAGATCTAGGGGTGGTTCTAGATAGAAAACTATCACCTGAGGACCACATAAAGAATATTGTGCAAGGAGCCTATGCTATGCTTTCTAACTTCAGAATTGCATTTAAATACATGGATGGCGATATACTAAAGAAATTGTTCATGACTTTTGTTAGGCCAAAGCTAGAATATGCAGCTGTTGTGTGGTGCCCATATCTTAAGAAGCACATCAACAAACTGGAAAAGGTGCAAAGACATGCTACTAAGTGGCTCCCAGAACTGAAGGGCAAGAGCTACGAGGAGAGGTTAGAAGCATTAAACATACCAAAACTAGAAGACAGAAGAAAAAGAGGTGATATGATCACTACGTACAAAATAGTAACAGGAATTGATAAAATCGACAGGGAAGATTTCCTGAGACCTGGCACTTCAAGAACAAGAGGTCATAGATTTAAACTAGCTAAACACAGATGCCGAAGAAATATAAGAAAATTCACCTTCGCAAATAAGAGTGGTAGACAGTTGGAACAAGTTAAGTGAGAAGGTGGTGGAGGCCAAGACCATCAGTAGTTTCAAAGCGTTATATGACAAAGAGTGCTGGGAAGACGGGACACCACGAGCGTAGCTCTCATGCTGTAACTACACTTAGGTAATTACACTTAGGTAATTACTGCCTTCTGTATGTGCACATACAGAAGGCAGAACCGGGTCACACACGAGGAAACAAAGCCCCCTGAATCCACAAAGGGAGCCCAAGAGGAAGAAACCTCCGGGACGAAACCAAAGAACCCAAAGGAACCCGGAATCGAACCAGGGGGAGCCCAAACCACCACTTTTGCCGGCGGAGATACACCACAGAAAGGCAAAGCACAGCCCCCAGACAGAACCCCCAGGGAAACGGTCAAAACAGACCGAAAACCGAGGGAGAAGGTGTGGGAGCAAGCATAACAGACAGGGACACTGGCCCAAACCCTATAGCCCAAACCCAAAACAGACAAAATGGAAAAACCCGGTGTAAAATAAACACTCAAACATTCCCAGAGGAACAGAAAATGGGCAGAAAACACCAGAAAAGCAAAGAAACGACAACAGGAAAATAAAACCCCTGAAAAAGGTGAAAAAAACTCACCCAAGACGCTCGCTCGCACACCCAGGCGTATGTAAAACTGCAACGCCGCCCTGGTGGCCACGTCAGGAAACCCACAGAAGAAAATGAAACGGGGCTGTGACTGACGCAAAAGATACGAAAACACGCCAGCAAAAGTGGGAAGCAAGCAGACTGGATGGGCGAAAAACTCCGCCCAGAAGCAGAAAACCCCGGCAGGGTCAATTGGCCCCAGAACTGCTAATAGGCATCCCCCACAGCCCCGGGAACCCGAAACAGAGACCCCAGGGCATAGTCGTCCTCTAAGCCTTTCGCCCTTAAAGAAAAGGAGGAGTCCATGGGAAAGGCAGCAAGAAAGGGCTGCTGGTAAGACCCAGAAGCCTTGGCAGGAGGAACAGGCTTGAAAACCTCCGTCCCCAACCCGAACAGGACAGCCCCCGAAACCGCCCGAGTCTCGGCCCCAACTAAACCCCGCCCCGACCCCAAAACCCGCAGATGGTCAGGAGCCTGGAACAGGGAGGGAAAGGAGCAAACAGCACCTAACCAAAACGGGGCGGCTACGGGGCATCCGAGTGAGAAACCAACCTACGTGTTGCAGCAACCTAACCTAGCTTGCAACACGGATGCAGCCTGTACTCTGAACAGTAATAACATCAGGAGAGTACTGGAGAACAAGCAGAGAATATCTCTCGCAAGACTCCGGGTCAAAGTGTCAGTGACCGAACAGGCAGCATGACGTAGGTAAAAGTGACGACTGTCACCCGGAGACAAGGGCACAGCAACCAACGATCTCGTACAAGACGGGTTGGAACCTGGAAGACACATTCAATGTGGTCCACCGAGCCCCGACAAGGGTTTCCAGGGCCCGTAGGGTAACAACTATGGGAAGCCCAAGCATGGTGTTGCTAACCGGTTAAGAAACCCAAAAATAACAAGGGGTAGAGGAGAATGAAAACCCCTGCGACGTGTACAATCACTGGGGCCTAGCAGAAGGCCACCAAACACTACTAGTGGAACTATAGCCACACTGGGCAGAGCCCCACCAGGCAAATGAAAATAAAAACAAAAGAAAAACCATGCAAAAGTACACCATCTCCAGAAGCAACAGGGAACCGGTCGCCACTTAGGTGGCAGGTCACGCAACACCTTGACACCCTAACCAGCACAATACCAGTCCGTACCCAGGGCCAAACAAGGGCCCCAAGCCCCAGGTGGCCCCAAGGGCGAGGCAAATGCCGAGCAGCAAGAACCTCTACGGAAATGGTTCGTGAACGCCCCAGGGAAGATAACCCTGTCACGCAGGGGCAGTACTCACAGGGCGCTTAGGAAAAGAAGCCCCTAAGCGCATGCAGCCCTGGTACTGATGAGGAACACCTGGCCACCACACAACACAACACTCGGCAGTGAACGCCACACAAGGCAAACACCGCCTAGGAAACCGAGGCCAGACAAGCGTCTATCCCGGTTGACATTAGCTTACGAACTGATGCTAGGCAGCCAGTGCTGTGAGGGTCTGGGGCTCCCCCCCTCCCCCCTCTCGGGGCGGAGAGGGCTGCGCGGACGATCAGCGCAGCAGTAAAGTGTGATGTTTGCTTGGTTCCTTGGGATTGTAGGGAGTTTCTACCTCTCTGTTCGGTTTTTTGTTTTAGTTTTTTACCACGTGGGGTTTGTTTTGTTATGCCAACCTTTCTGGGTTCCTAACCCCAGTCCATGGCAGATAAGGAAAACCCCAACCACAAGGAGGTTTTCCAGGGCCATTGCTCCCTGAAACCTCTCTGAAGGAGCCAGGTTCTAGCGCTGGTCCCTGGTAGGTCTGAACTCCTTAGCTAATGTCCCGGTCTAATATAACATACATTAGCCCGATAAGCTCCAGGGAGCCGTAGGGGCTCCCCACAGAAAACTAATTCTTTATAAAGAATTCAGGCGCAATTGTCACTAGGCGGGAGACACTGGTAAACTGAGGCGCGATCGCCATGCCACCACGCTCTAGGTCGGCCATACACGTATCAACCAACTTCGTTTCCCGAGGCAAAGCTCGTAACCCGATTCGGATTTTACGAAGAAATTGGGCTCGTAACCCGAAAAGTTTGTAAATAGGGGCATTCGTAAACCGAGGTGTCACTGTACTATTCTGATGCACCGAGTGATATACTAATTCTGATACACCGAGCAATATACTATTCTGATGCACCAAGTTACATCCTGGAGTTCGAGTTGATGTCTCAAGTTGCACTTCGATAGGAATGGGAACCAATTGTTAAAAAATTTGTTTTGTAATAATTTTCTTGCTGGAAAATAGTGGATATTTGCCACCCATACTCAAACAAAAAGTCTACATCAATTCCATGCAGAAACAACTCTCTGGTTTATGAACAAGTACTTTACACAGGAGTCGATCGGTGACGTTATATACGGTACACAATTCCAGTTTTCAAATTGCATTTTTCAAAATAATTTCCCCATCTGAAGTCAAATTTTCCAGCAAAATATAAAAGACTTTCTATACATTCTGCAGTTAATTCAAAATTATCAATAAACATATGTTAGGCTGTCAAAGTAGTTCAGAGTAGAAAATTTTTGTGAAAACAGTTTATTTAAAAACTGTGTGTTTTACTTTGGACTAGTTGAAGTCATCTGAAGTACATAGAGGTAATTCATGAAGACACCCTCTCAAGAAAGACAACAGATTAACTAAGGTAAGCAGACTATACAACAGTACTGTAACACTATAAAAGACAACTTATGAAGCATTCAATTAACGGAGTTTTACACACTTCTCAAACTTGTTCACCACGAGCCACATAGTATAGGAAATGAAGGATCAAGATAAACTGTTTAAGTAATTACTGTAATATACAAGGCAATCACAATAACGTGATGTATATATATACTATATGTGAGAAATCCTTTTGTGTAGGACACTGGTTTGGTCCCCATCCTGTTCCAAACACACACACTCTCAATTATTTTAACTTTGATCATCTTGAATAGTTGGGGAGGGGGGGGGAGGAGGAGTGCAAAGAGGTAAATTGAAAAAAAGAATATCTAATCTAGCCTTTGATCCACAATATAGTACAACATTTAATGTGATGGAAGTTTTTATTATGGAATGCGCATTTGAAATGACCAACATTTTCATAACAAAATAATGGATAGGTTTACTATAGCTTCAATATTCTCAGCAAGTTACATATATATTCCACTAAAATCTTTCACCACATTGTTGCAACTCGCCCACACTAACCTGCACCGAGATTTCTTTGATGCGTTCAGGATATGTCTGTGCGTCAACAGAGCGGAGGTGTTCTTCAAGTGACATACGATGGCGTCGTTCTCTATCCAGCTGCATCCGAAGGTCAATCATCTCACGACGCAACTCTTCGGTGGCAGGACCACTATCCACTTGCGTACTAATAACTACTGCTTCTCCTCCACTGCTGCCTCCATCGTCACATGGACTCTCACCGCCTGTTGGGCTACCTGCAATGACATTAACATTCAATTACTATGGTAATATGATCATCCTACATATAACAGTATAAAACTGCACAAAATAGAGTGTTGAATGTAATAAAATGTCACTTTCTGTGCCTAACCCACAGGAATAGATACTGGGGGTTCTCACAGAAGCAAAAAATATGTAGAGACCTCAAAACATCCTGCAAGGTGAGCTGCAGAGCAAGATATTGCACCGAAACATTCAACACGTGCAAAAAATAAGCAAAACATGTCAACCATTACAAAGGTAATCTTATTTACCCACTCATACTCAACCAGGTATGCCAATTTCATAGGAGCTTGTCAGGTAGAAACAGAATCACTTCCAGTTCTGATTCGTTTGTCACTGGCGGTCTGCATGGCCCATACCTCACTTATTAAAAGCTCTGATGGGTTTTGTCTTGGGATATCCTGTCCCATGGCTATTGTTTTATGCTAATTTATGCTTGGCCATTTCATTTGAACCAGCCACATTATGTGATCCTGAACTTTCAATAGTGCTGGCTTTCATCTGGGGTCTCTTCCTTAGCTCTGCCTGCATGCACAACACCCACCCCCCCAATATTTTCTCTATTTTCATCTCATCTGCTGCTGCTGTCTACCCTAGATAATATTTCCTTTTCTAAACACCCTAAAATTATTATCGACTTAATTCATGTTTAATGCCTCTAGTCTCTCCTCATAACTCTTGTTCAGTTCCAGAAGCTATTTTGTACAAATGCAATTTCCAGTTTAATTTTAGTGTTTCTTGAGATGTGGGCACCATACAACTGTTGCATATTCCAATTCTGGTTTTGCAAAAGTCATGAACAGTTTCTTTAGTATTTCACCACCCATATAATTAAAAGCAAGTCTGAAGTTGGAAAGTGACACATACACTCCTCTCCTTGGGTAATTACCATTTCTGATGCAACACCATATATAAACACCATATATAAACACCACATAATGTATACAGATGTATTTAGTCCAGGTACACCTCACTTGACCATTCAAGGGTCACAAGGCCAGTGAACCTTCACTCCAAGTAAAATAATTTTTTCTTACATACAGTACTGTATTATCTTTTATTTATACAGCTGCATTGCAACATGTCTTTGATATTACCAATATTAAATTTTTAACAAAAGCATGTGAAATTTTTATTTATACTGTAACAATTTTTACCCCTAGTTGTAACAAAATGATTATCGAGGAGCCACAGAAAAAATGGTTTAAATTGTAAGACTGTATAGAGGTAATTTCCTTGAGTGAACTGCAGTGGACCAGATCCCTTGGGTGAACCACAATTCCAGTACGATGGCCATTTTACAAAGCTTTCTTGTTAGACTACCCCCACTTGCCCCAACAAAATACTAATATTGTACTGTACAGTACTGCATTTCACATTTGTTTAAAGTTTTTACTATTCTCTTGCCTTTATCAACAAATATAAATCTCTCTACTCTCCTTGAATATCTGCCAAAATAAAAAAGTGTAATAAAGATTGTTTATGAAGTTTTGTTTGTGTTCAAAACACTTGAATCTAGACATGTCCAAACCACATGCATTTTACCTGTGGTTGTATGGCAGAATCTCTCGGTACTCAATTTACATAAATTTTTCTGTGGTCATTTTATTAATAGAGTTCAAAAGATGTCTACCAGCAGCAATTAGGCTAATCTATAAGTTATACAAATAAAATTGGTTATTCAAATGAATGTGTGTACAAGAACATAAAAGTAATGTACAATTGTAGGGACAGAAGTTGCACAATCTGTAAAGCCACTATTACGCAAGGCATTTCGGGTAAAAATATAAAATAAAATGGAAACAAAATTTAACCAAGGTGTGATTGGTAAAACACTTGGTACTAAAGAAGAAAAGCTAACAGAAGAGAATGGTTATGGAAAAATAACAAATGAATGCAAAAAATTTAAGGTTAGGCCAAGAGATGGTATCTTAATATGGGAGGATAAAAAGGCTAAATACATTGAAAAAAGTGAGTAAGCCAAATGAGTAGCAATGATTCAAAAGAGAAAAATAATAACTTCAAAGCATAAAGAGTTAGACGAGGCTGCTAAATGGTTTATGTAACAGCATTGTTTGGGAGTTTTGTCAAGTGTTTTAAATTGCATACAGTACTCTCTATACTCATATCTTGCCTACACAGATTAACAAGGCTCTTCAGGTAATCAAATATTTCATTTCTTCCCTTGTTTTACCTTCAAGTACAATATATTAAAATGCACTGCTTATAAATAATTTGATCTATATGCAGAATGCACAAAACTCTTCTATAATTCAAGCTAGAGAAATAATATAGCAATAGTGAAATTTGGCAAAACACCAAGTAAAGCAGAATCCTTGGTAGAGCAATAAATTTAATCTCATTTAGTCCATTCAAACAAGGTCCCTCTGTACAGTAGCGTACGTGAAGGCTAGATGGCCATGACCCAGTGAAGGGGAATTAAGGATCACACTGACTCCCACCACCGGGCAGTAGACCAGCTGCCACCACCACCACCAGCGAGAGCTCATTACCACCACCACCAGTAAGAGCTCATTACCACCACCACCACCACCAGTAAGAGCTCATTACCACCACCACCACCACCAGTAAGAGCTCATTACCACCACCACCAGTAAGAGCTCATTACCACCACCCCCACCACCAGCGAGAGCTCATTACTGCCACCACCAGCGAGAGCTCATTACCACCACCACCAGCGAGAGCTCATTACCACCACCACCACCACCAGTGAGAGCTCATTACCGCCACCACCAGCGAGAGCTCATTACCACCACCACCACCACCAGTGAGAGCTCATTACCACCACCACCAGCGAGAGCTCATTACCACCACCACCAGTGAGAACTCATTACCACCACCACCACCTGTGCATTCCATGCATGATAATGGAAGAGACCATAACAGGCTAAAGACACTTTCCTTTGAAAGAGTCTTTAAAAAGCATCACCAGCACACGTTAAGTAACAGCAAATGTTGCCTTATGAATTTGATAGAATTCCACAACAGCAACAAAGATTAGACAAGATAGGCAAGGGTGGGCACACTGCACCTTTTATTTGCCATCTGAAACCTGTGACACAGTATCCCTCAGGAGACATTGTAATAAAAGGTGCCGCTACATCGTGACAACTCAATCCATTATACGACCTCAGCCACCTGACTTTGTTGCTATTTCTTGTTGGGAGAGAATTATTTTTTAATATTACTCTACTGTACTGTAATTTCAACTAGTTTTCATTATTTTTCTTCAGCATGAAACTGAAGCCATGCCAGTGCTGCAAATACAATGTCTCCAAATTAAGCTTCTTATCATATATACAGTATACACATCCTGTGAAATGTGGCAAAATTATATTACAAATGACAACCTGCAAAATCTGTTTGCCACTGCATGTATTGTTTCTCTGATGCTGCATCATGCGTTGATGATGATGTTTCTTCATGTTATTGAAATATTCATGGCTTGGACCAACAATCGTTCCCATGTCTCAGTCTGTAAATGCTGTATCCTTAAAGTTTTAGAATCTAGAAAAGCACTAGCATACCCGAGAATCATCTTAGCTATGTCCTGCTACTGATCATCACTTGTTGCATATTTTCTGTCAATAATGCAAGTATGTAGATTTGTATGAATCTACTTTTATTATATAATCAATAAATGTATATTGATTTATATAATAAATCAATTTGCATATCCTGTCATGCCTTCTGCCATACCAGAGGGGATGGTAGGATTTGCAAATAGCCCTAATGAAGAGCAGAGGAGCAATAGTTATGCCGAGAAAACTCTTATCAACACCAAAGGCCCACAACCTTTCAACACTCTTCCCCCACACACACATGGGACATAACCGGCCGACCTCTCACAGTGTTCAAAACTGAACTCGACAAGCACCTTCATAGGATACCTGATCAACCAGGCTCTGACTCATAATGTCAGGCTGCAAGCAGTTGCATCAAACAGCCTGGTGGATCAGACCAGCAACCAGAAGGCCTGGTCAGAGATCGGACCGTGGGGACGTTAACTCCTGGAGTCTTCAACAGGTAGTCATATTTTTTTTTAATGTTTTGTTCACTATCCTGATTCTTATTGGTTCAAGAACCTACAGCAATTTCCTTTTGTATCATTGCAGTTATGGTTGTATCATTGTATCATTACAATTTCAATTTGTATCATTGCAAATATGATTCAGTGTATCAAAGAAAGAACATCCAAACAGTTTTCATGAATGCATTGCATAACTATTTTAGAAATACCCCCGCACAGTTTTGGGGCCATAGCTTATAAAGGCAGCACAATTCCTTTGCAGTTTGCTATCTTCTTTGGGAATGCTATCTCACATTCTGCATCACTATCACCCTTAGCCACTCATCCTCTATCTGCTGCTGGTGGATGGTTGGGCAAGAATAGTAGCTGATCCAGTTCACAGGGTTCCTACTCTCTGTATCCTCAGGTTGGGTATGTGACCCATTTGTCTTTCACTTTCTAGAACTTTGGTAGCTCATTGCAACATGGGAAACAGTGAAAGTTGCCTCACCTTGGGAATGGGGCCTTGAGTGCTTGAGTTCCTTTCTGAGCTGGTCCCTCAAATGCTCCTATTCAAGTCTTTCATGTCCCATCTTCCCTAAGCTGGTTTAGATGATCTAGGCTTAAAGTAAGGTTTCCAACTCCCCTGACACTTGTGACAATGAAAGCTGTTACCTGGTAGTGGTAGGGAAGCTTTGTATCTTAATAGTTAGCAGTGGTTTTGAGAGCATTTGGGCTGTCAGACCATTCCAAACAACAGTCACTATTATCAAGCTAGTAAAAGGATAGAAGATAGTAGAAATGTTGAAACCAACTACATTTAAAAACTGCAGCATTCCTCTCCCTCTTGTCTTATAGCAAACTGTTCCCTTAATAGAATCTCTAGTTACACTCTGCTCCATCTCTCCCTCCTTTTCTTCCTGAGAATATAAGGTAATTTGCAATGACCCTTGTCACAGCGTGGTAGTCACAGAGCCTAGTGGGAGATACAAGTCTTTGATGAACCCTGGCTCAAGAATCATACTAGGGGCCTCAGCTCAGAAATATTATGAGCATAACCAAATATGATTATACTGTACATTAACAAATTTTTTTCATTCAATTATGGGAAACAAAAATTTAAAGAAAATAATCTAATTTATACCATAACCTACAAAAAATGTGAGTAAACACAAAACTAAGTATATTACACTTAGACAAACTTATGGGGACAAACTTAAGTCACATTCAAAGACTTAATTCATGCTGTCTCACCTTCAACGTCTGCGTGATGCTGCTGTTGGTTGAGATGGCGCTTGAGCTGACAGTTTTGGGACAAGAGGCGTGTCTTCTCTTGCTCCAGCTGATATATGTATTCAGCTGTTTGCTGCAGGATGGCAGCCTGAAACACAGCAAATACTTAAGCTTATTCTAGTTTTCATAAGTTCACAAAAAGGCTTAAACAAGCACAATACAAACAGATAGAGGTCATGCAAATTATTATATGAAATCATTCATTAGATGCTTGTTATCCCATGATTTTTCAAGTTACTTTTTAAACAAGTTGAACATTTATCATGGTAATCAGCAAGTGTTGCTGATCAATTATTTACACTATTCAAATATTATCATCCCCAGGTTTCTCTCCCAGCTGACATAAGATAACATGGTCACACTGTCAGGACACACAGCTAAACCTCATTTCCTCCTCTAGTTAATGTTGGGCAATGAGAATGGTGGTGGACGAGAAGAAAGAGGTGCAGGTAACAGGTTTAAAAAAAAAAAAAAAAAAAAAAAAAAAAAAAAAAAAAGGTGATTTGAAAGTGTCCACTATACAGTATGACCCATACACAGACACCAATGGTGAGCTGTGGCAGGCAAGCTAACCAGGTAAAGTTTCATGTATGACAATTTCTTTGCGGCAAATTACAGAACATATGAAAATAGTTTATGTATATTGTCCCAACATTATACTGCACATGCCTATGAACTGACAAGGGAATAACCAACTGCAATGTTAGGGAGCATAATCAAGAAAATATTGCGTCTGCAAGAAAAATGATAGGATGGATTACGAGAACTTTCAAATCCAGGGATTCCATCACAATGGTTGTACTATTCAAATCACTTGTGCTGTCCCATCTTCAGTACTGATCAGTACTCGCTTCCCCCTTCAGAGCAGGAGAGATTGCAACAATCTCTCCTGCTAGAACTAGAACGATTTATGAAATAAATGGAATAGCAAACGATTCAAGTAGGGACTCCCTCGATATCGTAGGCCAAAGCCAACTGGCCCATCGGAAACAATTCCCAGTGTACACAAGACGAGTCGCCGGCTGAGTTTAAAACCCACTTAACCAAACTTAGTTCAACACAACCTAACCTAATCCAACTGGCCCAATACAGCCTAACCTTAACAATATATGCCTAGCATAACAATATATATAACAGAAAATGAGCCTCGTTTTCTGAAACGACCATACCCCGACCCATCTGGCCCCTTCCCCATTCCAGGACTGCCCGCCAACCCAACAACGAAGCCAAAACACTGAATCATTACCTCATTCATTGACATAGAAAATGCTACAGTAATTTAAATGAAATAAATAAAACAAGAACCAAAATTGAGCTAAATTGAGTCTAGAAAACTGTGCGCACGGGAGCCTTGCCGATTATACGTGGACTTCAGGCGTACATAATAGAAACACTGCTGTCCTCCATTTTTAGTTCTTGGCCACTTAGTAATATGCCAAATTTTATTTTATTTTATTTTATTTATATATATACAAGAAGGTACATTGGGTTTGTGAGAATACATTGGATAGTACAGTAATTACATTCTTGTAAATGGAAGAAACCTGTGTTACTTCATTAACAAGGTCCTCTTATAGAGGATTGACATTGGTAAATGCAAATAACTGATATCAATCGAATATTTTGCGCTTGAAGTGCACGTGTAGATTGTCTGGGATGTTAACTGTTGTCCTTTTATAATGTTGTGATTTACCATCTTTGATTGTATATGTGCTAAGTATGCCATGGTGATCACTAACTCTTGCAATAATGATCCGTGGACAGCATTGTCTAAGAGACCATGACCTATTACATAATCAAGCCTTCCACCCGAGAGATGGGCGACATTAGACGAGTCATGTTTTTCCCGAGGTATTTTGCAAACACCGAATCATTTCTGCTTATTTTATGATCCCCTAACTTATTGTGTCGTGTTAAAGTCACCCATTATGATGGTTTCAGAGTTCCTGTTGATGCATTTTTTTTAATTTTGCCCCGATGGGCGAGTTTATTGGGCAGGCCACTCATCCTGTGGTGTAGATATACCGCCATAGCAGCATGTTCAACACCCCCAAAAACGGAAGAAAACCTGCTGGGTTGTTTATCCTGTCGCTTGTACCCAGACACAGCTGGGACTTGCTTAACTCTTTTAAGTGAACATCTTCTCAAACAAGAAGATTAACATTTGTGAACCCTTAAAATCTTACGTTATCTTGCGGTGCGTCATTAGCGGTGCAAAATGGGGGAATCTTTTGAGAACAGCATCTATATTTAACAAATAGTATTTTCCTAACTTAAATTATGTCGAGTTTATTATTCTACACACATTTCTAAAGACTCTTAGATGTTCACATTCCTCAGGTAGTGGTCAAGGCGGTGTCCATCACTCTCACCACAGATTCTGCAACTACGCTGCTCAACTGTTATTTCCATTCCAAATCTCCATAGATATTTGTATCCAAGACGGATTCTTGCTATTGCTGATTCTCTCTTACAACCACCACCTCTTCGTCCATAATGATTGGGATTACCAGCTGCAACCATATTGTACCAGCGTACAGATTGACCGATTTATTCTTCTATCCTCCATTCCTCACTTACCTTGTGACGGTGATGTTGCCTGATGACACCCCTAATTTGTAGAAGTCTTGGGTATGAAGTATTCAATATGGTTTCATTTGGCGCCTTCGGCAACCAGCACATCTGCTCGTTCATTTCCACAGATTCCAACATGGGAGGGGAACCACAGAAACTTGACGACTCTTTCCTGATTGATTAGTACTCTCACAGCTCTCTTGATTTCAGCGACTATTGCAAGATTTTCTGCCAGATTTTTACTAAGGCTTTGAAGTGCAGCTTTTGAATCAGTGCCGATCACTGCACCATTAGTGTTCCGTTCAAGGCATCTTAACACCATAACAATGGCAGTTAGCTCTGCTTGTGTTGGAGACATAGTTCTCAATAGTTGTTTTTTCTTCATTTCTGCATTGGAAGGCATTATTCCTAATTACAGTGTATGCTGCACCAGCCCTGCCATTGACAGGATTAGATAGCCCATCAGTGTAGATTTGATCCAATTCATTTCTGGCTTCTTTAGAAATTTCCTCGGGATACTTGTGCCTCATTTCTTGTGGTATCATGTTGGACTTTTTCGTTGTCATCTCATTGATGATAATCCTGCATGGGTCACCCTCCTGTGGAGATGACCTCTGTACAGGCAGGAGCTCACGGGCTTGCTCAAGCAGGTGCAGTTCTTTGAGGCAGTAGACTGATCTGTGATGTCATTTTTTGGCTTCTCCCTTTTCCTCCTGTAAGTAGCACAGAACTCAGTTTTTTCTTTGCAATATCACTGTAATGGGGAGCTCAGGCTATCTTAATTGCAAGCTTGGCATTCAGTTCCTTTACTCTGCATTTAACACTGGGGAGGAACAACTCTTCTCGTAGATTACATGTTTTGGCAGTTCTTGGGACTCCAAGAATGATTGCCATGGCGTTATTTTGTATGCATAAACGCATTTTCATATCGCTTTGGGAGTAAGTGCACAAGACTGGTGCTGCATAGTCTATGACGGAGCGCACATAGGCTGTGTACATCATTTTAAGCACAGCAATAGAGGCCCATTTCAGGTCATAGCTTTCAGTGCCTTGAGTTGACTTTTAGATGTTCCTATGAGTTGGTTGAGCTCCTATTTCTTCCCCTTATTAAGAGCTGACTGTGATGCCAAGGTACCGATAGTGGTCGACCCATTTAAGTGTTACACCATTAATTTGAGGTTCTTCATTTTCTCCCCGCTTGTGATGAGAATGTGGTTTTGTCTTGTTTGTGGAGAAAGTGAAATTGAGTTCAACACATTTCCTTCCAAGGAGTTCAATGGACTGTTTAATTTTTCCAAAGGTGGGAGCTTGTATTAGGACATCATCTGCATACCCCACTTGCTATGTTCCTTCTGGAAATTCAATATTTGCAATGGCATTCATAAGTATGTTGAATAGTGTGGGGCTTAAGACTCCTCCTGGAGGGAGAGGGAGCCGAGTTCCATACTCATTGTTCTAGAGACTACTCCGTTGAAGCAGACCTTGGCTTTCCTCCCTGTGAGGTAGACTTCAATCCATTTTATGAGTCTCCCCTTGACACCCAAATATGCAAGCTCATCCAGGATCGCAATCCCCTGGGCTTTGTCGAAGACTCCTTTGATGTCAACAAATACAGAATACTTAACTGTGTCATTAGCCAAGTAATTAACCATACAGTTTGTTGTGCTCCATCTATAATAAATCCATTAACCCCTCCCCTAGCCTGCCTATTTTGTGCAACAGTCGGTTTAGGATGATCCTTTCAAGTATCTTGCATGTGCACGACACGACACGAGACTGGTAGGTCTGTAATTGCCAGAGTCATTGTGCTTCGGTATGGGAACGATTATTGCGTGTTTCCATTGTGTGGGCAACACTCCACTTAGGAATTTGTTAAACAGGTGGAGTAATGGATTCCCAGACACCTCACACAGTGCATTCTTTATGTCATAGGTGATTCCATTTTCACCAGGTGCTGTACTTTTACTCTTTTTCATAGCCCCCTTACTTCCTGGGCTGTGATTGGTTCCTCATACTCTCATCACTAGACAGTGCTCTTGTTATCCTAATTCTTCTGTCATTATGTCGCAGGAGCTGTTCCCTGCTTACTTCTACAGGGAGGAAGGAGGAGGATGCTGCATCACTCACTCCACTTGTGTATTAGTTCCTCAGCCTTACCCCTGGGGGGTCTTTGTAAGCAGCAGGCCGGGTTCTGCCCCCCCCCCCCCTTAGCTATCTGAATTTTTGCCCACACTTGTCTTGAGGATGTTTCTCTTCTAATGGAGCTAGTGAAGTCAAGCCATTGACTTGACTTGAAGTCAAGTCTTTCCCACTCTTTAGTCTTCTCTTCCCTGGCTACTTGACACACAGTTTTAAACAGCTTTTTGGTTACTTTGAGTGGGATGTCTCTGGTACTCTCTACTCATGCTCCTTACATTAGCATTGAGCATCTTTATGTAATCATTCTCATACCATTTTATTTTCTTCTTCCGAGGGTTACTTCGCCCAGTCGTATGGCGTGGAACTTAAGAGACA